TGGAATTTTCCTCTCCTCTCCTCTTGATGGTGTAATACATGATCACGCGTTCATTGTCTTGTTTTCCCCTGGGTGGTGTAGGTACTTCCATTTCCTTCTCCCTTTTCATCTTTTCTCTCATTACGGCCCCTAACAAGATCCTCTCCAGGGTCCCTCTGATCTCTATGCTAATAGAAAAGCACTGAAATGACTGAAAGCAAGACAAATAGAGAGAAAAAAAAAAATCCCAAAAGCAGCTGGGAGCCCTTATTTCTAACCATCTCTATGGAAACAATTCCACGGAGGTCCAGCTGGAAACAATTGTGTAGGGATCATTGGAGCAGTGGCCACCAAGCCGTATTTACAGGATTCAACTTGCAAATGGGAATAGTTGATAGCCTTTTTTTTTTTTTTTTAGAAAAATCGTAAAGTAGATTAGGTATACCCCTATATAGTGTACTTTTTAAAAAACTCAAAACTTCCTACTTGCTATAATGATAAAAAAAGCAAAAGGGATATATGTACTAGCTTCTACATGTACTAGCTAGCTTCAAGTTCTTCCTAAGCACTCACACAGGCAAACAGCAGAGTGCACAACACAAAGAAATTATATCCAAAGAAAACATCAAGGTGTGGTGGTAAAGAATCATTACAATGCTTTTAGGATTGTGGCCCATAACCACACAAAGTAAGTATGTGGAAAGAATGCCAAGCTCAACCAGGCAGTAAATAGATTGTTCCAATTCAGGCAAGGGATGAAATGGATTACAGAATTCCATCTACCAAATCAGGTGGAAAGACTGAAAGGATAAAGTAGGGAATGTGACTTGAAACCAGGAAAGAACTCCATCTGAAGTGTGAGATCTTGGAGTCTTTACTAATACAGCAGTTATTTTAAAAATGAAGAGGGTGGGGTGCTCATAGTGTCTGTGACCCAGAACAATCACGTTTCAGACTATTTAAAAGTCTCCAGCCAATTAATTGTTAACCGCAGGTCTCCTGTCCTGGTAACTCCAGTGTTTTTCAGGGGAAGTAACTTCCATTTGCCTGAAATGATGACCCTGGCCCCTGGAGTAAAACCACCTGGGTTCAGATCCTAGCTTCTGCCACTAGGGCAGTGGTTCTCAACCTTCTGGCCCTTTAAATACAGTTCCTCATGTTGTGACCCAACCATAAAATTATTTTCGTTGCTACTTCATAACTGTAATGTTGCTACTGTTATGAATCGTCATGTAAATATCTGATATGCAGGATGGTCTTAGGCGACCCCTGTGAAAGGGTCGTTCGACCGCCAAAGGGGTCGCGACCCACAGGTTGAGAACCGCTGCACTAGGGGATGTGACCCTGGGTAATTTTTTTTTGTCACTTCTCTAAACTCAGGCACCTCATCTGTAAATTTGGGATAATAATAATTACTATCTTTCAGGGCTGTAAGGAGTCGGTGAATTGAGCACAGCACCTAGCTCAAGCAAGTTCTCAATAAACGTGAGCTACTGTTATTATCCCGGTTTTGTTTTCCTGTCTCTTGTAAGGATGACCCTTTCTCTGGGGGGCATTTTGAGGGAGTGGGCTCAAGAAAGGCACGACAGCACCGCGGCTTATCCAATTCTTACTGTCCCACATTTGCCTTTTTTTCAAACTATAAGAGAACGTTTATTTAGAAAGCCACAGAGGTAGAAGAAATGAGCAGAAGAAATGGGCTTCAGGAAACAAGTTACAGACGCAAAAGACGGGGCCCTTTGAGCTTAGGAGAGAAAAAAAAGTCAGAGTGAGACCCCTGGGGGCAAGGGGAGGGGATGGGAAAGGTGCAGGGGCGAGCTCAAGACTGTCCCACTTGAGCAGATTTGAGGCTGAATTCAAGTCATGAAGTGGAAGTTTCCATTCTCTGAAGGTAGCTGGCTTCCTGGGTCCATCCTACACACCCAGATTTCATGGGGGGGGGGGGGGGGATGGAATTACTCAGGTTTCTTCACTGCTAACAGCCTTTGTGCCCCTATCCCACCCTCTAGGCTTCCCAATGTCCGCCGCACAAAGCAGAGTCGGACTGGATATTGAAGGTCTACACCTTAGTTTCCCCCCATCTCACTTCATGTCCGTTCCTACGCTTGGGCCTTAACTTGCATTCATCTCTTTACCATGACTGCCCTTCATCCTTCCCCAAAATTCAGCTTGCTTTTCTTGTTTTTAATAAAAATAAAAAAAAGAAGTGCCACTAGGAACCTTGGTGGCATGTGAGCATAACCAAAAAGTATTTATTAGGTGTCACTTGTACGCACAATTCCCAAGAACGCAAAGCTCGATATAGAAAACCCGAGTGGGCCGTGGGCGCGGAACCAGTCACTCCGATTGTAAAGTGCGAGAGATGACAGGCAAGAGGCATGCGAAGGCGAGGTGAGACCTGCAGGGAAACGGCCGGGCGGGAATCGATCAAGAAGCCGCCCGACCAGGCCGGCTGTGGGGCAGCGGGGCCGCGGCGCCAGAGCGAGGACGGAGGAGCCCCAGGCCCCCGGCCCACATTGGTCTGTGGACACCCGGATCGCCCCAGCACTGAACAACTATTTTTACTGCATAATGCAAACATGGTGGACAAGGAACCCCTTCCCCGTGTTTGGCGGCTGAACCACGTGGCGCCTTTCCACGCAGGTGACGCTGGGGTGAGCGCGGGACTTGCTGGAATTTGTTGGGGGGGGGGGTGGCGCACAGGGGACCGGAGAACCGCTCCAAACCGAGACACCACGGTTCGTCCAGCAACGCGGGGCGGGCGGCCCACTGCTGCCGCTCGTCCTCCAAGAGGCCGGCTAGGGGGGCTCCGAGACTCCGGTGGTTGCGCCGGAGGAAAGACAGCGGAACTCCCCGCCCCCTCCTCTAATGGACCCGCCTCGGCTCCCCACCGCGTCCGACTCCGGAGCCTAGTACCGCGCAAGCGCACTACCTGCCCGCTGCGCCAAAGCCGGACCAACGCTCTGGTCTCGCGAGAACGACGCCGGCCGGTCTCCGTTGCTCTCGCTCTACCCACCCCCTCGCTTGCTCGCTCTCTCCCATCCCCCAAGCCAGTCGCTGTGCTGCGCAGCTCCCTCCGCGGCAGCCTCCGCCGGAGACGGTTGGAAGAGCCGTTGTGGGGGCGCTACACGAGGAGAGCGAGTCCTTCCTCCGCCGGACCCCGCGGGCGCTGCAGTCGCTTGACAGGGTATCTGAAGTAACAGGGGGTAGGTTGGGCTCGTGGTGCCGTGAGCAGAGTCGGGAGAAGGACGAGAGAGATGGCGGGGGT